TGGTAGAGTGGCTCAAGATGTAGCACCCAGTACTGCAAAAAAAAAAAAAAAGGAAACAATGGTAGGCAAGGATGTGGAGAAACTGGAACCCCAATCACTAGTGATGGGATTATAAAAGGGTGCAACCACTAAGGAAAACAGTACAGTAGTAATTCCTTTTAAAAATTAACAATATAACCAACTGAGTTCACAATTGCATGTCTGAGTATACATCCAAAAGAAATGAAAGCAGGGCCTAAAAGAATATTTGCACACTAATACAGCAGTACTACTTGTAATATCAAAGAGAAGGAAGAAATCCAATGTCCTTCAATGAATGAACAGATCACAGAATGTGGTATGTACATATAATGGAATATTATTCAGCCTTTAAAAGGAAGGAAATTAAAAAAAAAAGGAAGTAAATCTTGTCACATATCAGATGGATGAACTTTTCAGATTTCATGTTAAATGAAATAAACCAGTCACAAAAAAAGACAAATACTGTATAATTTCACTTACATGTGGAAACTTATGTAGTCAAACTCATAAAAATACAAAGTAAAATGGTGGTTATGAGAGGCTTGGTGGGGGGAATTGAGGAAAAAAAGGGAGGAAGTAGTTTAATAGATATACAGAGCTTCAGTTTTGCAAGATGAGTGTTCTGAAGACCTGTTTTGTAACAATATGAACATACTTAACATTCCTATTACATTTCAAAATGGGTAACACGTTAAAGGAGTCAAAAGTCTGAAACTCACTATTTACAAATAAGATGGTATGGAAGACTGGATATCCAGAATCAAGAATGACCTGAAACCAACTATGGCTCTGAACATCTGGGCTCTGAAGGTAATCAAACCATATCCAATCTACCTTTCTTATAAAATTTTAAGTTCAGAAAATGCAAAGACAAAATCAAATATATTAAGCTCTCAAATTATTCTCACCTAACTCAGGGAGTGAAATTAGGCAGAACTATCTCCCATTATTAAAACACACACACACACACACTCTCACACACTAGATATGTTTTGGGAATAAATTTTAAACAAATGTGCAGCTCATGAATTTTGTTTAGATACAACTTTAAATATTCAGTTCTAAAGAAACACCTCACCTGAAATTCAAAATTTAAAAAAAAAATTTATCTTTAAGCCATTGTTCGAGGATACTACAAAGTATCAGAGGTAGTATAACAATTTCTATATTTCACTAAATTATAAATATTATCAATTATAAATTATACCATTATTTTATGTACCACCAAGAATGCAAAAAAGCAAAGACAATTAAAAATGACATACACCAGTCAGGCATTGTGGCTCGTATCTGTATCCCAGTACTCAGGAGAGTGAGGCAGGAAGATCTCAAGTTTGAGGCCAACATAGTGAGACCCTGCCTCAAAACAAACAAAACATCAAAGAACATATACCATTTATAAGACGCCTTCCAAATTCAGACATATTATAATATTTCAAAAGTTGGTGTCTTAGAATAGATATAATACAGTATAGTGTATATGCCTATTCCTCTGAATAACCCCAAGGTATCAGAAACCTAATTTATGGAAGGCGGGGGTGGAATCAGTATTTCTGTAACACAAAACCTCTACATCCCCTCACAAACTTCTTTTTAAATGCATGAATACAGTCAATACAAACCACCAGTTCAAAGAATCAATAAATAACAATACTGATACAAGCACAAAAACATTCAGTATCAAACAAATAACTAAGTAATTTACTATAACCTAAGCAAATGATTTCCAAACTACAAAAGTCAAGAACCTAAACACTAAACGACTTTCAAATAACTTAGCTGGTCAGACCCATGTCTCCTTTTAATCCAATAGTCCACAGGTATCAGCTCAGAAGACAGAGTGCCACCTACTAAAGAAAAAAGCATTAAATTCTTGAGTTTTCAGTACATACTATGGACACAATGGACTGGTTTTTACAGCAATTTACAGGGTCAAGGTATATTATGACAGTTTCAAAAACAACAGCAAAGATGCAAAGCAAAAAAGAAGAAAAAAATCTTAGCCAGTTGAGGTGGCTTGTAACCCTAGCTACTTGGGAGGCAGTGAGGAGGATTGTGGTTCAAGGCCACCCAGATAAAAGTTTGCCAGACCCCATCTCAGCCAATAAAAGGAGGCACGGTGATGTGCACCTGACATCCTAGCTATGGGAGAAGCATAAATAGGAGGATCTGGGTTCAGGCCAGCTTGGGACATAAGCAGCAACACACTACTCAAAAAATACCTAAAGCAAAAGGTGTGTGGCTTAATTGGTGGAGCACCTGTCTAGCAAATATAAGGCCGAGTTCAACCTCAAGTACTAGAGGGAGGGAGGGAGGAAGGGAAGGAGGAAGGCAGGAAGGCAGGAAGGCAGGCAGGCAGGAAGAAAGGAAGCTAGCTTAGCTAAGGGGGTGGTGCATATCTATAATCCCAGTAAGGCCAAAGCAGAAGGATCATGAGGTTTGAGGCCAGCTCAGAGGATTACATGAGTTCCAGAACAGCTTGGGCTGTGTAGCAAGACCCAATCTCAAGAGAACAAAGAAAAATATATCAGCCTAAATATTTTTAGACTGAGAAACAAATATAAAAAAATGGGGTTTTCTTGTTGTTTGAGGCTGGGTCTTGCTATGTAGCCCACGATGACCTTGAACTCACTATGTGACCTCCAATTTGTGATCCTCCTGCCTCAGCCTCCTGAGTACTGGGATTAGAGGTGGGCATCAAAGAATACATATATTGGGGGACAGGAGATGTGGCTCAAGTGATGAGTGCCTGTCTTACAAGTGTAAAGTCCTGAGTTCAAACACCAGCACCACCAAAAAAAAAAAAAAAAAGCATTTATTAATTCAGTAGTGTCAACAATTACTCCAATCACAGTATGCAAAAGCACACCAGAAAACTCTGCTAAGTTTATCTATTTCTAAAATCTAGTGCTTTTCTTACACGCAAATCTGATATCAGCTGGGTGCCAGTGGCTCACCCCTGCAATCCTACCTACTCTGGAGGCAGAGATCAGGAGGCTTGCGGTTCAAAGCCAGCCTAGGCAAATAGTTCAAGAGACCCTATTTCAAATAAATAAATAAATAAATAAATAAATATCACATAAAAGGGCTGGTGGGAGTGGCTCAAAGTGTAGGCCCTGAAGCTCAAAAAAAAAAAAATTAAAGTAAATTGACACCAATAAAATTACACAAGACAAACAAGATTCACAAATACAAACTTAACTAGAAACCTATCAAAACTACAAAAATTCAATTATACATAAGAATAAACATTCAAAAACAGGCTCACAGAATAGGTGAGGATAGGTGAGAATAGGACTTGCCTCCGAATGCAAGTCCATCCCCAATCTAGGGGAAAATGTAAGAAAGGTAGATTCTGTTTTGTTACTTGATTAGCCACTTAATTTTAAGATACAGCCCATCAATATAGTAGGATTGCAATCTATGTAAATGTGGACATATATGTCACACTGCTTTTCCCTAAACAGTGATCCTACCAAATAAAACATTTTGATGTTTAACGTTGATCTAGAAAAACAAATAACTAAAAAGTTATTTTTTTCTTCTTTTGCTGTTTTTCAAAAGAACCAATTTAATTATCCATTTGCATGTTAAGCCTACAAGCTTAGCAATTCAAGTACAAGAAAAGTCCATTAATGTAAACAAAAATGACAAAATGCTGACAATTTGTGAAAATGGATGACAAATCTATTGCAGTTCATTATACTGTGCTCACTATCCTTAATGTACGTTTTTTTAACGTCTATGATATATTAAAGTAAAAACATTTTCAGGGCTAGGGACATGGCTTAAGCAGCAGAGCACCTGCCTAGCAAGCATAATGCCCTAAATTCAAACCCTAATATCACCAAAAGCCAAGTAAATAAAACTAGAAACATTTTTCAGATGTACCAAGTGGTCTTAAAAAACTTTAGTTCTAAAATAAACCTCATAGAGAGCACCAATTTATTGTTACTTGACAAGGCACACTGATTTGCAAGTAGTCTTCAAATTACACCAACCATTTCTCTATCAATAGACGTACACAAGGCCTTATCTGCTTGGAAGTTACAAAGGAAATAAATGTAATACAATCAGATATATGTCTCCTTATTTTAAAATGCTCTATGTCAAAGACTAATTTTTAAAATGTTTAATCTTAAACCTGGAAACAATGAATTTTCTAGTTCAGTAGTTTGCAAACTTTTGAGGTATGTGACGGGCCAAAGATTGATTCCCTTTATATATTGGGGATTGTGTACAAAATAGATTTTGTTTTTCAAAAGGATCTCGCTACTTTAAGAAGAAAAATTTTAAAAATTCCACTGCTTCATTTCACCATACACATTTTATAAAATGACCTAAGTAAGTAAAAAGACTTGTATATCATTCATTACTGGCAGTGTCAGAAATGGAACTCAAAGCTGCTATTTGTCCACTTCTCCTTTAAACAACACACCACTAGAGTTTAAGCTACGGGTAAAAATATGCTTTCAATTTTATCATTTACAAAATAAGGTTATAAAACAAGATCATTTCTAACTAAGATCATTTCCCAGGTCTAAAATTCTGCCCTGTACAAATACCAAATTTAACAGAGGCCTATAAAGGAATGAATGTTCTTAAACATAGCAGAACCCTACAAACATTTTCAAGGACTCTAGAGAGACCCAAGTCAAACATAGAAACAAGCTAACAGTAATTCAGTCATTACCTTTTGGGTCTTGAAACATTTATGCACCTTCTATCTTAATAGTTTGTTCTAGTATATGAAGCACTGTTCTCAAAGACCACTGAAATAACCCTACTTTAAAGTTTTTCTGGTTACTGAATATTTTTAGAAAGGATGCTGGCCTAGCTATGGAAAACATACAACTTGATGAAGATGTTCAAGTTACTACAGAGAACCAAACACATTTTTTCTAAAGTTCAAAATAATTGAATTCATAGAAGCATTAAGTCTAGCTGACACACAGTGGCCACAAAGTTTAAATTCCCACCTATTAAAGCCTGAAAGAGGTTGCTCTGAAATATGTTAATGACCCGTTCTATGGAACTTCTGAGCTGTCTGTCTTCAGTTTGGCTTAGTTTCGATCGATACTCTTCCAACAGGTGTAAGGCTCTCTGGGTATCTGAAAAGAAACGTTTGATTTAAGTGTGCATATGGTCTTTTCTTTTCCTTTTTTTTTTTTTTTCTTTTGCAAAAAAGTGTTACATGCTAGGGCAAATAATCCTGCAAGACATCTCAATCCTCTAGGTCAAGTGCTGTCTTTATTTTCATGCATACATATTCCCTGAAATGACCAAGAAAAAATTTAAATATATATCGCAGTAGAAAAAAAGGAAGTGAGCAGTGTGCAGTAAATGTGGACTGGTAGTTTACAATAGTAAAAGACCAACCACCTGATCAAAGTATTAGGAACTTAGTTTCAGGTCATTTACAATTTGTTATTAAAATCCAGATTTTAAGTGTTTCAAAACATTAGTTCTTAGTATCCCACAGTTGCTCACAAAATAGGGTTTGGTAAGAGTGATAAAGTGAAATACCAATTCGGAATTTTTAAAAAGACATTGTGTGGGGGGAATTAGTTGCTTCTCTAATCACTAAGGAGACGTCAAGAAAGGTTTAATAAACATTTAGGTGTTTCCATCTTCTAAAATGATGTGAGGCTTAGATTCCCTAAGCAATAAAGTTAGGACCTTTCTGCTCCATCAGTTACACAAACATTTTTAAAAAGACAATCACAAAATCGACATAAGGCAAAGCAAGTGACATTCCACAAGAGTGGAATGAAACCCTTTCTCACCTTGCTTCCGGACCGGCATTGTCCCCCAGAATCAGGAAGAGGACACACACCTTTAGAAACACAAAACAGAAAGGAAAAGAACTAAAGAACAGCACAGAATACTAGTTCGATGAGCACTTCCCATTTCTCTCGAACCGAAAACCTGCCAGTCCTACTAGGAATGCCCACCTTCCAAAGTTTTCCCAAGTGACAGGAAGCGCTTGGAGCCCCAGCAGTGTCAATCAATGCAAGCTCGCTTCCCAGGGCTGGGCACCCTTGTAAATTACCTCGAAAGCGCCCCACTCCCCAAAGAGGGCACCTAAAACCAAGCAGTGGGGCCGCCTCTCACACGGCCCAAGTGTCCACACCTCCAACACACACCTGCTACCGGAGGCGAGGAGTGAAGTCGCCCCGACACTTGGCCCGGGAGCCAGCCGCCGCCGCCGGCCGCCGAGAGCGCGGAGAAGGGATCGGCGGGGGGCCCGTCACCCCTCCCCGCCCTGCCCGGCCCCCTCCCCTCGCTTGCCTTTCTCCGTGCTCGCCTCCTCCGGGCTGCTCCCGCAGGGGCCGGACAGGACCGCGGCCGCCTCGGGGCGCCGCACATGCACACCGCCGCGGGCCCCCACACCTGCGGCGCCGACACAAAGTTCCTGCGAGCGGCGTGCGCGGGGAGCCAGGCTGCTCTTCGGCCCGACCCGGAGCAGCTCCCCCGCCCTGTCCCGCTCCACGTACCCCCGCCCCGCCCCGGGCTGGAGCAGCTCAGCTGAGGGGGTGAGGGGAGGGGGGGAGGAGCTCCCCTCGGCGGCCGCACCCCCGCGCCCTCGTCCTCCTCCTCGGCCGCCGACGCCTCCTCTCTCGCACGGCCCGCTAACCCGCTTGCCTCTCGCCTCCTAGCCGCCCCACCCCCGGAACCTCGCCTCCCTTCCGCGCCCCCAGCCGCTCTCCCCCCAAACTTTCCGCCAAGATGGCGGCCCCAGAGCTGGATTGCCGCGCTCCCACGTGACTGCTTTCCCCGCGCTCTCAGCCAATGAGAAGTGAGGAGGCGGCTCGCGCCGAGCCCGGGGCTCTCCGCGCTACTACCTTTGGGTTGGAAAGGGGAGGAGGATTGGGAGGGGGCTGGGGAGCTGCGAAGGGGACCCGCCGCGCATCCCTAGGGAAGCGCCCTGCTTAAAGGGGCGGCCATCGTAGTGGCTCTGAGGACAAAGGAGTTGGCACACAGACGCTACAGGTGGTCTGGAGTGGCTTTGGGACAGCCCGCCGTACCTCGCCCTAGCCCACCCTTGCGTCCTGCAGTTCTGAGCTAGTAGCACAGCCGGCCCGGGAGAGTCGAGGTGTATGAAGAGAGATGTGACCTGCACTAGATCTAGGACACAGTCTGAGACTTAACCCCACTGAACACGTGCTGTTCCCAACTTCAAGGCAGGACGATCCCAGATGTCCGCAAGGATGGATCCCCAACTGGGAAATGCGGACTTGAAGAACTAATTGCGCCAGCCAGGTTAGGGGGAGCGGAGGAGAGAGGGGCTTGGTAGGGAGAAAGAGAGAGACTGTGTACTGATTTTTTTTTTTTTTAATTATTCGCCTCTCAGTAAAAGGTTTGAGGAGTATCTTTACTGGTTATTTTGATAAGAATTTGAGGGTTTCAGAGAATCTTTAAGTCTTAGTGATCGATTCCAAGTATGAGTGAGTTTATTGGTGGGGGCCTCATTCATTTGTTCATTTCCCCATGCTTGCACCCTCCCATCCCCAACCCGGCTGGCCATGCTCTCAAGGTATTACACAAGTTCTTGCGGCACCCTTAAGAACTCACCTGTAGCCGCCTCCTGCGAAACTAAGCCGGTAGCCCTCACTCCTGGTTTAAATTTCGTGCATCTCTGAACCTAACAACTGATCAGCGGAGACCCCGCTCCAGAGCCGAGCCACCCAGCATGTGGAAGAGGAATCTCTGAAAACTCTCCAAGTCACTGCCCAGGTCTTCGAGCTTCTTCTGAGTTACAGGGACCTCCCTTCCCTGTAACTCTGAGGTCCAGTAGAAAAATTTGCCCGAGGTCATCCAAAGTTAGTGACAGAACTGGAAACCAGGCGATCACCTCTGTCAAAACCGGAAGGCTGTTTCCAATACACCTGACAGCCTTTAGGTGAGGCTATCCAAGAGGAAGTCCGAGGAACCTTGCACTATAATCATAGCAGACACTCAGAGATATGCTGACTGCTGGGTTTCACTTTTGGGTCGCACCCTAGAATCCTCTCTTGAGAGAACCCCACGACTTGGAGCTCATGTAGACCCCTTCTCAACTTGAGGTGAAGAAACTGAGGTCCCAAAAGGGAAAGCAATTTTCCCAAGGCCACATAAGCTAATTAATCAGTGACGAAGCAGCCCACAACTCAGGGCTCCTAGCTCCAGCCCAAAACTCTTTGCACTATGATTTCGGACCACTTGATAGTGATATGTTGGTATATTGGAGCAGATTGTTCTGCTTTGCTGGATCAAGCATGCTGAGATTTTGAGCAAAGTTAAAGCAACATTGGGTAGAGGAAATGGGACAGCAGAATCAAAGGGGGTGGGCATCTAAAAGAAAAGGACCTTAAGGGAGAGTTGGGGGTCATTTTATAGTGAAAATGGCTGATGACATACATGATATTATTATCAACTCATTGATGAACTGTGAATAGAATGGTCCCAGTAAGAAATCATTCTAAGAATCGAATTTGATCTGAATTCAGAAAGAGGGAGGAAAGTTTGCCCTCCCCTTGATATCACTCATTGTTCATATATGATCACTTACTAGGCAATTTATTCTTCTTCTTGTTATTGTTGCTGTTGTTGTACTGGGGCTACATTGTGACATTTACCAAATTGCTAGGCAATTAAGACAGAATTAAATAAGATCTAAGCTCTGCTCTCAAGGACCCAAAGCCTCATAGCACATCATTGGCAAAGGCCAAAGTGAGTTTTTCCCAGGAGTCACTGAGGACTAAAATAAAACATTTGTGTGAGTTCTCAATGCCATCCTAATCCTCCCCTAAAAAAAAAAAGAGAAGAAGAAGGGAGAATATGTTACCCTTCTTTCTTGTCATCCTCTTTGACAACCCTATTTAGTTGTCAGCAATGTCCAAAAGCAGGAACGAACCCAGCACTTGTTCTCCCTTAAGGGCTAGGACAGGTCCAGGCATAGTATGAAGGGCCTATAGTATTTGTTCTTCATTCCTGTGCATCTATATTAGTTATTTGTGGCTGCATAACAAATTCCTCAAAGCTTAGGAGCTTAAAACATAGTAGCTTAGTAACTTAAATAGCAATAAACATTATCGTACAGTTTCTGTGGGCCAGGAATTTAGGAGCAGCTTAGTTGGATAGTTCTGGTTCAGGATTTTAAGATGGTACAGTCAAGTTGTCTATCGGGTATAGTCATGTGAAGGCTTAACTGGGGCTCAGGGAGGCTCTTTTGACATGATCTGCTTACATGGGTAGTAAGTCAATGCTGGCTGTTGGCAGGAAGCCTCAGTTTCTCACCATGAAGACCTTTCTATAGGGCTATTTAAGTGTCTTCATGACATGGGGAATGACCTCTCCAGAACAAGTGATCCGAGAGTGCAAGGCAGATTCCACAGTATCTTTCATGACCTAGTCTCAGAAGAAACATTGTGTCTTAGTCAATTTGGGCTACTATAACTAGCTAACTTATAAATAAGAGGTTCTGGAGGTTGGAAAGTCCAAGGTCAAAGCTCCAGCAAATTTGGTATGTAGTGAGAGCCCTGTTCCTCATAAATGACATCTTGCTGTATCTTTATATGAAAAAGGGGACAAACAAGCTCCCTTAGGCCTCTTTCATAAGGACACTAATCACATTCATAAGGACTCTACTCTCATAACCTAAGCACCTCCCATATGGGCAGTATTCAAGGATATGCACACAAGGAGGGGCTGTCTTGGAGGCTGGCTACCATATCACAACATACAAAGTGATGATGCCTATTTATTTCAAGATAACTTTTATTTTCTCAAAGTCTTCCTTACTTTATGCAGTCAAGTGCATAGGGCCCAATATACTTTTCCAACTTCCTTATTAAAAATACACCCATACAAAACAGCCAAGATGCTCCACTACTGACGAATGGATCAAGAAAATGTGGTATCTATACACATGGAATTTTATGCAGCCATGAAGAAGAACGCAATGTTATCATTCGCTGGTAAATGGATGGAATTGGAGAACATCATTCTGAGTGAGGTTAGCCTGGCCCAAAAGACCAAAAATCATATGTTCTCCCTCATATGTGGACATTAGATCAAGGGCAAACACAAAAGGGAATTGGACTTTGAGCACATGATAAAAGCGAGAGCACACAAGGGAGGAGTGAGGATAGGTAAGACACCTAAAAATTAGCTAGCATTTGTTGCCCTCAATGCAGAGAAACTAAAGCAGATACCTTAAAAGCAACTGAGGCCAATAGGAGAAGGGGACCAGGAACTAGAGAAAAGGTTAGATCAAAAAGAATTAACCTAGAAGGTAACACACACGCACAGGAAATCAATGTGAGTCAACTCCCTGTATAGCTATCCTTATCTCAACTAGCAAAAACCCTTGTTCCTTCCTATTATTGCTTATACTCTCTCTTCAACAAAATTAGAGATAAGGGCAAAATAGTTTCTGCCGGGTATTGAGGGCGTGGGGGGGAGAAGGAGGGGGCGGAGTGGGTGGTAAGGGAGGGGGTGAGGGCAGGGGGGAGAAATGACCCAAGCATTGTATGCACATATGAATAATAAAACAATAAAAAAAATAATAAAAATACACCCATACACATACCACACATTTGAATAAAAGATGTTACTACTCCAAGAAATACTAGTGGTTGAAACTATTCACACAACTTTTCAACTCCAAGTTAACTTTCCCTTTGCATAGCTTAAAGGCATTAGGTGTCAAAGGACCATAGGGAAAGGCTCAAATCTCCCATTCTTTTATTGAGATGTCAGAGGTCTGATCTCAAAGAATATTGCCTTTCAGTTCCAAACCTCCTGACTATCCTTCTATCCAAACGGCCTTTGTAGCTCTGGGCCCCCATCCTGTCCTCTGGCATAGAGTCCTGCCAGACTCTACTGCATCTTTAGCTCTCAATCCAGGACAGTCACAGAGTGCTGCCTGAATCACTAAAAGGAAATGCTGTGATGCTGTCAAAAAGGCTTATACCCACTTAGATTACAAGAAGAGGAACAATGTCAAGAATGATGGAAGTGATTGTACTGGTCAAATTGCTATTTGAAAGCCCTGAGGCATACCAGGCAGCACACTTTAAAGGTCTAGACAAAGAAGAGAGTGACCAGAGCAATCAGGGATATGAAACCTTACCCCAGGGGAAATAATTGTAGACTCAGGGCCAGCTCACTGAGGAAAGAAAGGGACTCCCAGGAGCTTGACTTCAATCTTCATTTCAAATAGGCTTATTCTGTTTATTGAGGTGAAACAGAACTACAACCAGAGGATGAAAGTTACAGAGATGCAAGAAGATCTTCCTTAACATGATATGCCAGAACTCCCCAAAATTCTAAAAAAGTGGTAAGAGTTTTCCATCAGGAAGAAGCTGAATAAACTGATCAGGCTTCCTTGTTGGAGGGTGGTGGGATACCCAAGACAGAAGATTGTACTAAATGACTTCTATAAATGCATTTCTAAGCCCTTGAAACTTCAGTTCCTGCTAAATACTAAAATGGTATCAGTACCATTTTCTCTACATCAAGAATCTAGTCTACCCAGTTTAGGTGGTATCAAAACTGGCCTCTTTTTCATGCATAATTCTTACCAGAATAAAAGGTACATGTTGAAACTAATTCCTTTAAAATGTGGACAGTTGCCCATTTCCATGATAGGTAATCAGGCATTGAACTCATGCTTTTAATGGAGGATTACCAAATTTCTATAGTATAATGGTTCCTAAGTGGATGTAGACTAATAATTGCCT